TCCCCCTCCCTTCCCTTCCCTTCCCTTCATTTTGGAATCGCCTTTACTACGCACTTGCTTATCTTATAAGGGAAGTATCTTATACAGGGAAGGAACCCTAGGCAGTCGTGATGTGATTTCAGAATACAACAAATAGTTCATGAACATAGGTTCACAGTTAACCCAAAGATGCTGGTAAAGAAACACTCACAAATTTCAAACACTGCTCAACGGGATAAAGGTTCAAACTCTAGCTGTTTGCTCGACACAGAATTTTTTGGCTTTGATGTTTACGTTTTATTGGATTTCTAGATCTACACGATTACTTGCTGAGCGCTCTGAGTCCTGAACAACTGAAAACCTTTAATGAAAGTTACAAAGCTATGGCAAAGGTATAATAGGCTTTTCATGTTCAACAAAAAGCTGCAGGCCTATGCGGGTTTTATTCAGGATCTTGGAGACGAAGGAGCCGCAAACGTACTGGATCGGATCAAGAAGGTTGTTGTCTACGCTGTAAACCCCGCCGTTGAACTGGTAACACACAACTACTGGCATAGATTTTGTTCTTCGATCAATCTCTTCACTAATTGGCGCTTGAGGTACGAGCGAATGGTGAAACACCAGAGCTGGCCTACATGACGATGTCTCGACAACTAACCCCGGATTTCATACATGGAGTCATCAGTCTAGTTAGGGACACGCTGACGCCTACAGAGTGGAAAAGTGTGAAGCAACATTTCGCGCCGATGCTAAAAATCATGTATGTTTGCAGAAGTACTGTTAAATAATAAAGTCGAGGGTCAAATTCAATTCGAGCGAAGGCGCCATCTACGGACCTTGGCTATTTTGGGTGTGGTACGGTTCTCCAGTTGTGCAATTTTCTTCTGGACCACGGTGCACGCCACGCATCTAGACCACCCAACACTCCCTAGTAGGCGGTGTGATATTCTGTAAATATCACGGGCACATGTACCTTACCAGATGGATCAGGTAATAGTTTTGACTTTTTTGATTCGGTCACCCAGTCCAAGGCGAATTTTAAATGTGTGGATGAGTAACTCTCAGGACTTCGCCCTATCACTGCCTCAGTCTTCCGGACTTTATCTAATTCTCTGCAACAGCTTTTATTAGGTTGTCCGGAAAGTTCTCAGCGTTTTGGGTGTTTCACTTTAAACGATCGTAACTTTTTTAATACTCATCGGATTTAATCGAAATAGGCACCATTCGAATCAGCACACTTTTGCCAATGTGACAGCAGTCGAGAAATCCCATCAAAGTAAAAAACTGGGTGGTCGAGAATCTACGAAATCCACGAAGGCTTTTTTGCCTGGTCCTAATTGATGAAGTATTTTTCAGCAAGGAAGTTCTGAAAATGTTTGAAAAGGTGATAGTCGGTTGGTGAAAGGTCTGGAGAATATGGTGGGTGTGGTAGAACTTCAACCCCCAATTCGTTCAATTTATGGATAGTGATTTGTGAAACGTGTGGGCGGGCGTTGTCATGCAAAAGAATCGGACCCTTTCTTTTGATAAGTGTTGGCTGCATCTGACAAAATTTTCGGTACAATTCGTCGATTTCTTCACAGTAGGGTTCTGCTGTGATGGTTTGGCCTGGTGATAAAAAGTTATAGTGGATC